GACTGTGAGCTAAATAAACCTTTCCTTCCTTCCTTCATTTTGGGTGTTGTATCTGTCCCAGCAACGAGAGAAGAGTAACTGAGGCAGTGTATATGAAAGCAAAGAATCAAGAATGAGAGGACTAAAGGGAGTGGACTTCATGAAGTAAGCTGGGTATGAGGGACACCAAGAAAAGAGATCCGTGTTTAGGCCCCTATTTGATGACTCAATGGCTGTGGGTGATTCCATTCCTCTGAAGCTCAACTTCTCTCTTGCAAGGTGACTGATAGCCTGCTGCCCTCGGAGGGGGATCTTGCACCTCACATATATGAAATGTGAGGAACTCCTCTACGGAACACTCAGCAAGTGTCCACCAGCAACCTGCTCCACCAAAAAGAAAGCAGGGAAGAAGCCTGTCATTACAAAAAAAAAAAAGACAGAGGCTTTGCTGTTGTTTTTCTTTTTAATTCTAAGGATGCCTGAAATTCTATGCTTTGATTCCTGAAATCCAAAAATAAGTGGGCTGGGAAGATAGCTCAGCATCTAAGCATCTGCCTGGCAGGCACAAAGACCTGGGTTCGATCCCCAGTACCATATGCCCTGCAGGCTGCGGAACCCTGGGTGCGCAGTGGCAGCCACTGAAACCAGACCTGGTGGCACACACTTGTAATCCCAGGGCTGGGGAGGCTGAAACAGGAAGATCACTATGATTGCAAGCTGTGTAGCAAGACCCTGTACCAAGTGAATAAATAAATAAAATATTTTTAAAAAATTCAACAATAAGGAAAGGAAGCAAGAAAACCAAGGAGACTTCTCAATTCCTGGCTCTTTGGCAGGCATGAGACCTGTATTGTTTTCTATAGATTGGTTTTGGGAGACCTCCAGGGAGGAGATGGTGAGCCAGGATGCAGAAAACAGCAAGGTCACAATTCTTCCCTGGAGATATATCCTCAGCTTGTCCCTCTTTATTTACCTCCCCCTTCCATCTGCCTTCATACTTTAGGTTGGCTTTCCCACCTTTTTCCTTTATTTCTCTCTCCTTGTTCATCCAAATCAGCAGAAATGAATCGTCTCGCTTGCTTAGCCTCTTGCCCCATGGCCCTAAATGGCTCTCTCATGGGCGGCTTGTCATGACATGCCAGTTACTGCTAAGATGTCTCTTGGGTAGGTGGATGTTCAAGAAGAAGGGGGTGGTGAATGAAAGCAAGAGACAGGAAAAGGAATATTGTGGGACTGTCCTGCTTCAAGGTTGTATATGGTGAGATTTTTGGACTTATGTGCAAACATGAGAAGTATAGAATTCTTTATCCTATTTTTAAAATATAATCTAATTTTTAAATTTTTTTATCATATTATGTAGGGACTTAAAGTTCAACATATCAATACTTGATGAAAAATACCTGTTCCTTATTATGCCTAAGATGTTTGAAATGCAGTGAGATAGTGAGGTTAAGCTTGATAGCCTAAATCATTTGATAATAACAATAAGCTTTTCTTCTGGATGGTTAACAACCTAAGTTTGTAGACCAAAATTAGAGAAAAAGGAGGGCTGCAAGGAAAGCCAACTTTTTGGCCCTAGCTTTCTAAGGTCAATTAAGACTCAGGACATATGAGAACTTGTACTGTAACGTCATGTACCTCGGTAGTGTCCCAAATTTTCTGATCAAGAAGATTATGGGGCCAAAGAGGAAAGTGATCGATGACGTAGAGTGTGCCTAAGGAGAGTCACATGGGGAGAAGACACTCTCTCAGGCTTTCACAGAGAGCACATTGGCCAAGCAATGGCCGTGACTCATCCACATGGCTGCACTGACAAAGGTTCTACAATCTGAGGTACAGGATCTCAGGATAAATCCTGAGGGCATTTCACTGACCTTCTCAGACCCAAAAGCTACAACTCTTGTTGCATAGGTCCTGCTTTACCTTGGTCTTATCCATCCAGTAGAAAAGTATGAAGACGAAATATAGGAAGTAAAGCCATGCTGTTAAGTTGAGCTGTGGGGGACTCAGGTCAATAATTTCTGACATTGCCAGTTAAACAGAAGACCCAGTGCTATTATGGGCTACTGGACTCTTTTAGAATATTTTGCTGAGTTTACACACCTATAATATTCAATAACGGAACTTAGAAAAAATGGGGTATACCGATGAATGTCCATTTGGAACCGGGGAATCAAAAGAGGTAGGAAAGATATATAGTTGCATTCTCTTAATGAATAGAATGATTTGTTCTAATGGTGTTTGTAAATAGGATCGCAAGTCCGCATCTTGTACAGCAATTAACCACTAAGAAGAATATATGCAGTGTATTATTTGTTGAAACTATACTTCCGATTTGATTTGAAACTGTCTCATTGCTATTTGTTTATCAATAAAACTTTGAAACAAAAATAAAATAAATGGCTCTCTCACTCTGCCTTCTGGGCCTGTCCCTGGGCTAGGCCTCACCTGCCACCACACAGTCAAGACTCCACATGACTGGCTACAGGAATGCTTCCTCTTCCTTTCTCTGAGCTGGTGGCCTGACCTCTTTACTCTAGGGATGATGGGAAATCACACACAGCACTCCAGACAACAACTCCACAGCCTGCCAGAGGGGCAGGGAAGGAAGGCAACCACTGTGTTTTGAGAGCTTTATGTGCCATCCTAAGGAACCTAATAGGTACATCTCAACATCTTGATTTCACAGATGAGGGGTCTTAGGCTCAAAGAAGCAAAGGAACTTGTCCAAAGGTGGACATCTAGAAAGTAAAGGAGTCAACAACTGAACCCTGAATTTGTGGTTTCTTGGATTCACTGCATTTTAACATACTGGGGTGTGTGTGTGTGTGTGTGTGTGTGTGTGTGTGTGTGTACGCGCAGGTCAGGTAGACTATAGGTGCCATCCATCAGAATGGAAACCTAACAGCCCTGTACATTGAGCCATACTTGTAGGATGGAGAGGTAGGTGCTCACATACAGAGGAGGTGGTCAGTGTGTGTCGGGAGCCCCGCTGTCACTGAGGATGGTGACATGAAGGTAAGCGGCTTCAAGGTCCCCTGAGCCCTGCTCACACCTCCTGGTGATGGAACGTCACCGTATCCTACTGTGTCTAGGTTGATTCACTTCCTGACCAACACAAGCATTCAACTAGTTTTTAGAATTTAAGAAAGTGTGCTGGATGTGGTGGCCCACACCTGTAATCCCAGGACTCAGGAGACTGAGACAGAAGGATTACTGTGAGCTCGAGTCTAGCCTCGGCTACATAGCGAGACTGTCTCTAAATAAATAAATAAATAAACAAGCAGATGTGGGACATAGTGTCACATGCTTGTGATTCTGGCCACTAGGGAGTTTGAGGCAGGAAGATGCGGGGAAGGGACTGACAGTCTGGGCAACCTAGTGACTTGCTGAGATCCTGTTTTCTTTCTTTTTTTTTTTTTTTGATACCGAGAACTCAGGACCTTGAGCTTGCTAGCTGTGCCACTGAGCTACATCCCCAGCCCTCGAAATAAAATTTTAAGAAGGGTTGAGGATGTGCGCCAGCAGCAAAGCACCAGCCGAGCTTTGCTGTAGGCCCTGTGTTCAATCTTCAGCACCAGGGAACCAGAGAAACCTCCCAACCTACCACCACCCATCCCCCGCAAAAAAAAAAAAAAAAAAAAAAGGACAAGAATGGCTGCTGACCTAATGTCATTTAGTTGGCAAAATAATTCCCATGTTATGTATTTTCTATGGTTTTGTGGAATACTAAGAATCAAGACAATGACGAGTTATCCAAAATTCAAGAAAAAAAAAAAAAAAAAAAAAAAAACAGGAAAGGAAAAAAATAAAATAAAATGGCCTGAGGATATAGCTCAGCACTCCCTAACTTCAACCACCAGC